AAACTAGAAATCATAAGATAATCTCAAATAAATATGGAGAAATTTGGTGAAATTCAGCACCATTTATCATCAAACTCTCACCCAATTATAATAAAAAGGAATTTTCTTAACCTGATAAACTAGGAGAAACTTACAGCTAACATCATGTATAACAGTAAAAGACTAAACGCTTTTTATCCAGCTTCACGAACAAGGAGTAATTATCAATTCTCATCACTTCTATTTGACATTGTACTGTATTTAATAAACATGTAGGAAATACAAAAGAATCTATTTTACAAGCTACAAGAACTGACAGGTGAATTTAACAAAGTTACAAGATGCATGCTTGATACTCAAAAATAAGTTCTACTTCTATTTCCTAGCAAAAAACGGAAATTTAAAAACAATACTGTTTACAGTAGCACAAACAAACATGAAATACTAAGGAATAAATTTAACAAAGTATGTGTAAGAACTATGTACTGAAGTTACAACAGTTGAAGAAGAAAAAGAACTAAATAAACAATATAAACCATATTTGTATATTAGAAATACTATAATAGTTAGTTTCATGTGACAACCTGGCTGGGGGATGGTTCCCAGATATTTAATCAAATGTCATTTTGGATGTTTCTGTGAAGCATGAGGTTACCATTGAAACCTGTGACCTTCATGTCAAGCAGTTTAACCTCCATAAAGTGGATGGGCTCAGATAATCAGTGGAAGGCCCTAGTGGAACACAGATGACTCTCCCCAGGCAAGAAGAAATTTAGCAGCATATGTACTTTGGACTTGAACTATAGCACTGGTTTTTCTCTGGATCTCTACCCTCCAGATTTTGGACTTGCCGGTCTTCCTACTTGCATAAGCCAATTCCTTAACCCTCCACCCCATATCTATATAATTGTCTGAATTACTGGTGTTTCTCCCAGGTTCAGGTGTTATAACTTAATCCACAAAGTGATAATACTAAGAAGTTAACAATACTAAACCTTTAGGAAGAGACCCTATTAAGAGTGGAATTAATGCCTTTATACAAGTTAACACACAAGTTAACTTGAAGTGATTACAGACCAAAATGTTAAAGTTAAAACCATAAAAGGTCTTGATGAAAATACAAGACAGAATCTTCACAGCAATGATTTCTTAGAAAGGTCTCCAAAATCCATAAAAAATATAAAAAGAAAGTTTGATAAATTACATTTTATAAAAATTAAAATTATCTGCATTTCAAATGAAACTTTTAAAAAATTTTTATTTAAAGAGAAAAAAGCAAAGTTGAAAAAGGGTACAAATAATACAGAATTTCAAAAAAATAAACAGTAAGAAATCACTAGTTGATAAATTACATATTGTCCTCTTAGAAATAGTTGTTCAAGTTATAAAATTAAAGCATTCAAAGTGGACATACAAGCAGTGAGACTGAAAACAGTTCTGTTCAATGATCCAACAAAAACTTAGTAATATGGTTATCAGTCCTACACACTTAAACATACATGCAGTTATATCCTTTAGAGCACTTTCTTTTCCTCTCTTTTACAATAGCAATTATATTTTGAGTTTTGCTATTCCTACAGTTCATATTACTTTTATACTAGAAACACAATGTGATATTTATAAATATGATTCTTATTTATTTTAATGAGGATAGTCTTAGGTTGTCTCCATTTACGTATGAAGGCCTTAAGATCATCCTTTTTATAGCTGAGTAATATTCCATTTTATAAAAACACCACATCTTTTTCATCCACTCTGCAGTTGATGGGCATCTTGATTGTTTCCAAGATTTTGCTATTACAAATTGTGCTGCTATGAACATGGGTGCACATATACCACTGTGACATGACCTTTTCAATTTTTCTGGGAAAATATTCAGGAGCAGAATAGCTGGATTGAATAGAACTTCCAATCCTAGTCTTCCGAGGAATCTCCATACTGATTTCCATAGTGGTTTCACCAGTCTACACTCCCACCAGCAGTGGAGCAGTGTGCCTTTTTCCCCATAGCCTTGCCAACATTTGTTATCAGTTGATTTCTTGATGGCAGCTGTTCTTTCTGGAGTGAGATGAAATCTCAATGCTGTTTTAATTTGCATTTCTCAAATGACCAATGATGGTGAACATTTCTTCATGCATTTATCAGATGGAACCTCTAAGGAATGAAAAAGCAAGCTATAGTCTTGGGACATATCTCTTACGATGGGCCTGTATCCAAATACTGTTTTTAAAGAATTCTTGTTTTTTTTTTTTTTTATTGGTACCAGGAATCAAACTCACGACTGTGTGCTTGCAAAGCAGGTGCTTATGCTGCTGAGCTAAATCCCCAGCCTGTGTTTTTAAAGAATTCTTACTACTTAATGGTAAGAAGACAAATATCCAATTAAGGATGAAGCCACCTACTGGGCATATGGCTCACTGGTAGAGCTCTCCTGTAGTATTCATGAGGCCCTTAGTTCAGCTCCAGTTTTTTCTCTCTCTCTCTCTCTCTCTCTGTCTCTCTGCCTCTCTGTCTCTGTCTGTCTGTCTCTCTCTCTCTCTCACACACACACACACACAATGCACAATGGGCTAATTATTTTATTTTTATTGGTACCTGTTTGCATTGCATAATGATTACATTCATTATGGGAAGTTGGTACAAGTATGTAACACATCTCAGTTTTTTTCACACCCTTTCCCTCCCTTCCCTCTTCCATTCATCTCTTAATCCCCTTCCCATTTGAAAAAGATTTGTCTACCTCCTATTACCTATTTTTTAATCTTGCTTATTATTTGTATTATGGGTTTCTCATATAAGAGACACCATGTGATATTAAACTTGTGTGTCTGATTTATTTCACTTAAGATTGTGCTCTCAAGGTGCATACATTTTCTTATATATCACTCATTAATCCTTCTTTATGACAGAGTAGTGCTCTATTGTGTATAAATAGCACATTTTCCTTATCCATTCATCTGTTGATGGACATAAAAGCCACTTCTAAGGGCTGGGGACTTAGCGCAGCGGCCTAAGTGCCTGCCTGACAAGCACAAGGCCAAGAGTTCAATCCCTGGTACAAAACAAAAGCCACTTCTAAGACATAGCTATTATGAATTGTGTGCTATAAACATGGGTTTGCACACATCACTGTAATACGATCTCTTTAGTTCTTTTGGGAGTACCTAGAAGGAGAATATCTGAGTTGACATAAGTGAAATAAATCAAACTCACATGTGTAAATATCATATTGTCTTCCTAGTGTAAGAAACTCAAAGAGTAAATAAGATACAAAATCTTCAATAAGTATTGTGAAAGGGTACGAAACTCCTCAAAGGGGAAAACATAACTCGGATAGAGAAAAAAAGGAAGGGAAAAGAAAAGAGATATAAATTTGTACACATACCCTTAAGGTAGCTATGATGATTGTACTACTAATTCTTTTAGTTCTTGGAACAAAACAGTTAACATTCATAGGATTAGATCAGTTTGCATGCTTGTATCATGGTAATCTGAGTAACTCTTTTGCAGATAACTATGCAAAACAACAACCTTAGTTATATTCCTACCTCCTTGTTTTGAAAGCCTGTATTGTTACTGTTTTGGGCTGTTTGTTATTGTTATTTATTTGTCTCTTTTGTTTCTTGTTTTTCTTGTATTATGTTTTGTTTTCCCCTCTAATATGGAAAGGATAGATGTACATGTATAGGTTTGCATGTGCCTAAATCTTCTCCTAAAGAATCTACAAGCATTGATTTTATTACATGTAATGGTATGAACAGCTACTTAGAAGAAAACAGGACATTATGGTAGCCATTGTTGATCTTCCTATTTTCTGGTTTTGAAGGCCTGTAGTGCTTTCTTTCTTTTGTTTTGATTGGTTTTATACTGTTTTGTTTTGTTTAAATTCATTGTGTTTGAAGATATGGACAACTATTTCGAAGAAGACAAGAGGCATTATGGTAGCCTGTTTCTTTCCTGTTGTCTTGCTTTGAAATCTTGTGTTGCTTGCATTGTTTTGTTCTGATCTGCTTTGTTCTGTTCTGTTCTGTTTTGTTTTATTCTCTTTAAAATAAAAAAACAATATCTGAGTCAAATGGTATTTCTAGTTTTAGTTGGTTTTTTGTTTGTTTGTTTTATATTGGGGATAAAACTTACAACCTCATCCTTGTGCTTACCATGCAAGTGCTAGAGCCACTGCACTAAATCCCCAAACCTACTTTTAGTTTTTTGAAGACTCTTCACCTGATGTCCATAGTAATTGTATTGTACTAGTTTACCTTCCCACCAACAAAGTTAAGAACTCCTTTTTTCTCCAAAGCTTAGACAACATTTGTTATTATTGGATTTCTTGATGCTAACTGTTCTTTCTGGAGTAAGGCAGAATCTCAGTGTTGTTGTAGTTTGCATTTCTCTAATAGCCAGTGGTGTTGGACATTTTTTTCATTTATTTATTGGCCATTTGTGCTTCTTCTAAGAAATGACTGTTCATTTCAGTTGATTGTATCTTGTATTGGGGGATAGTCTATTATACTCTAGATATCAATTCTCTACCTGGACTAATTACTTTAAATTATCTGTGATTTAGATACTTCATGAAAGACATGCAAATAACAGATAAGCACATCAGAATATACCTGACATCAATAATCAGAGAAATACAGCAAGCTACTACTATACACTCCTGGCAAGTGGGTCGGGCAACTTTACCTCTCATACTTCACTTTTGGAAATATAAACTGACAAATCCACTTTGAAAAAGAATCCATTTTTTAAAAATAAAATTTAATCTACATTCACCCTCTGACTCACCAATTCCACTTGTGCATAACTTATCCAGGAGGAATGAAGCCGTCCCATACACTGTCTTATACACAATCTTCATAGAAATTTATCTGTACTGACTCAAGTTTTCATCAACAAGTGAAAGGATAAGCAAATTGTGCTGTCACCTTACAATGGACTATTATTCAGAAATATGAAGAACAAGTACAGATATACGCAATGACACGAGTAAATTTTAGAATCCTGCTGAGCCACAGTTGCCAAACATAAAAGGCTTTTTACTGGGTGATGCTATTTACATGAAATCTAGCAGAACCAAATCCAATTTATAACAACAGCAAGTTGATTAGTGCTTGGTTGGCTGGGGTGAAGAGGCAGGTAACTGACTACAAAAGAACACTGAAGGCACTTCATACATTTATTAAAATTCATTGAACTGTACACGAATATGCAAGTGGTTTCTTACAAATGTAGTTGATTTAAGTAAGTGAGATAATATATGTAGGCCCCAGCACTATTCCTGAAGTCAGTGCTGAGAAGTGTTACTTTTCATCTCCCTGACCCCACCTCTCTAATTTTTCTCTGCACCCCTGCTGTTTTTACACACTCAGCATTGTGTACTTCTCACACCCCACTGCCTCTCCAAATCCCTCCTGTCTTTCAAGATGTGGCTTAAATCTCTCCAGCCTGTTGTTGTGCAGGTAGCTCTTGAAGCATCTACATGTTCTTCTCCAGGACTAAACATGGTCGGGTACCTACTGCCAAGTGTCACTCCCAGCTGTTGGATGCATTCACATCCTGCTTCTTTGTTCATTTTGAATTCTTCAAGGATAAGTACTGTCTCGTCACTGGCTGCACAATACTCCCAGGAAGCATTTCCCATTGACTGGTAGTGGGGATGGTGTATCCTCTGTCCTTGGCCAGCAGATCCTGGGAGAGAGAGTGGCCTAGAGAGATAGTATGGTGGCCGAAAGGAAAGTGGGCTTTCAGCCCAGTGGTCCTGGTCTGCATGTCAACCTTGCTGGCTGCCTACCTGTGCGACTTTGGCCAGTTTACTTAGCCCAGCTGAGCCTGGAGTCCGTCAGTTTCATGTGTGCGATTGTTGGAATGAGATGAAAGAGGCTGTGTCAAGCGCCTGGCTACCATCTGCTGTTATGAAGAGCTGGATGAATGGGTGTAGCACCAGGCCCCTGGTCTGGCAGAGGGTTCACGGAGCTGGCATACTTATTTGCAGAACACCTTGACTGTGGTGTTTTGCTAGTCTTAAACTCATTTCCCCAGAGAGGAGAGGAATAGGCTGGGCCTCCAGGCTCTGTGTCCCTCACAAAAGCTTCCTGTATTTCTTCAGCCTCATCCACATCTGGTTGTACTTACTGCTCTAAAAATGTATCCATCCTGTTTGCCATGTTCACATTTCAGAACATGGGGCAGCCGCAGGGGAAAAAGCCCTCATAAATACCATGCACAAAAAAAAAAAAGAAGAAGGAGAAGAAGAAAGAGAAGAAAAATCCCGCAATGCTGTGCATCTACGTACTTAGAAGAGGAAGATGAGGAACAAGAGCTTTCCCCTCCACCAGGCTTGCACAGCAAGGAAAACCCTCCAAAGCAATGAGGAAATCTATTATGTTTTGGTGAGGAAACCAAAACATAAAAGGGTCTCTGACTGCCTAGGAAAGTTGGCCTCCAAATCTGGGAGGAACACCAAAGAGAGGTCAAGAGTCAGGACTCCTGGCTCTGCCTGTGGATTTCCCGTGTGACCAAGAGCATGCCAGTCAGCATCTTTGGACTGTCTTACCCATCTGGGCATAGTGTTTCAGTCTCCATTGTGGCTGTGATTCTGGAAATAATGGAAATGAGTAAGGCAGAGATATTTGTCAACATGTTTATATCCGTGTGTGTTTTGTGTTCTCAGTGCCTAGACCAGTGTCTGGCATGGAGGATATACTCACAGGTGCTTTTCACACAGATGAATGTTACAAGATTGGAATCATAAACCTCTCTCTAGTTATGCAGTTTTCATGATTGCTGTGACATCAGGCAAGCAACCTCATCCTGGCTCCAGCTTCGTTGAATATGGATAACTGATCCTACCTGTGATGAGAAGTTGGCAAATCCATGCAGGGTACTGCATACAGAGTAGGTACGCAACAAATGGTAGCTCTTATATCTCCCATGGCTTATGCTTGTTGGTTTTGCAGGAACCGTAGGAATCTCTACTATTCTCTACCTTCCTTCCTATACTCACCCACTCCCAACACAGTGGCGAACATCCTGGAGTTTCTCACCTGAGGATCAGACCAAAGAGAACCAACCACTTTGGGTTGTAGGAAGAACTTAAATCTAGGTTAGAGCTGAACAACGCTGCAAATATTGAGAGGAGTTATCAAAAGAGGCAAGAATATTTTCCCAGAAAATCTGTTGGAGTACAGTATTTTCATCATTGTAGACCAGTTCCTGTGTTGTCCCATGAGGAAGAACATGAGACTTGGTGGTCTTTCACTGGAAGGCCTCTGTAGGCCACAGACAGTTCAAGGGCATTGTGGTGAGGCCAGCAGGCTCAGGCAAGATGCTCTGTGCGTCATCTGTCCCATGTAGGCCTACAGGTCTCTGAGGTTAAATTGCTGCTGAAATACATTAGCACTGCCCAAGAGTCAGAAGAAGAGGAGCCAGTCCAGTGTGTGACTGTACAAGAGGAAAAGAAAAAGACCCCACAGTTAGCCTGCCCTTCCGATGGGCTCCTGTGCACCAGATCCCCCAGGGCCTCCCATCAGGGCCAACACCCCTCAAAGGTCCATATGCACTCAGGGAGACGCTTTTCTTGTCCATGGCAGGTGGAGATAGGGGCTGCTGGGTCACACTAGCAGAACAGTGGAGAGCAAGGTTAAACTGAACTGAGCTAGGCCAAGCTGAGCAGAAAGACAAAGAGATCTCCCTCCAGAAGGAGGCATCTTTTCTCTGCAGAGGTTAAATGTATGTTTCTTTTTTTTTTTTTTTAATTTAAAGAAAAGGAAACAAAAAAATACATGGAGATTAAAAAGGGTAGAAATAATACAAAATTATAGAAAAATAAATGGTAAGAATTCTTAAAACTATTTATAGTTTCCTGTGGGTGTGGCACCCAGGAAGAAAGCTTCCAGTTGTCTTCTGGTCCTTGGAGGCAGCTTCCCAGGTGTCCCCATAAAGTTCCTCACCCCAACCAACCCTGGGCTGCCCTGTTCCTCATCACACTCGTCCTCTCCCAGGGGAGTGATCGCCTGGGGCCTCCCAAGTCTTTTCCAAGAAGCCCCCCACACAAAGCACCCATGCTTACCCACCGGCCCATGACCTCATGCTGAGTCCCATTCTCCATTCATTGTGTTACTCTGGGTCCTTTCCCCAGGATAATGCTGAATACCAAGGAGAGAACTGTATTTCTTTGATTCTTCCACAGTATTGAGTTTATTACCCAATAGGTAATCAATAAACACTCTTCAATAAATGGCCAAAAGGCTGTAGCACTACAGTTTATCTTAAGGTGCACATTCTGAGTTACATCTGAATGGGTGTGCACCTTAAGGTATAGTACTGAGAAACTTGGTTCTCCTCTGATTCCAGGTTAAAGAAGAGCACTGGACTTAGAGTATAGACACTAGGACTATGCCCCAGCCCTGCCCCAATTGGTGTGGAATTGAGAATAACTTATGTAACCTTTCTCCGCCTTGCACTATTTAATCTTACAGCAGGTCACTATTTAATCTTACAGTGCTGCAAGCATAAAAAAGGAATCAGTTTTAAAAGAGCTTTGATAAAAACTGGATAAACAAAAGAAACCTTTATTCCAAGGGGTTTGAGTGGGATTCATCCAACCATCTTTATGATAATCCGTTCTGCATTCTCTCCTGTGCGTCAGATGTGAAGGCTTTTGACACCTTGCCTTTGGAAGCCAACAAGAGAGATCTATTTGGATCCCTGGATATAAAGTGCTGAATAACTGAGGCAGTGGTCTGGCTGTGACTTTAACAGGGTCAATTTAAACACAGGATGTTGTTGCTGGGTTAAAGCAGGGACAACATTCCTGTAGCAGGTCTAAAAACGAGTCATGTGGTGACCACTGAAGACAAATCCCATTACATTTTGAGTCCCACCTTCAGTACTAACCACCCATAGTCCCAGGTAGACCCAATCATAAACCCAGCCTGGTGGAAGCACCCAGTCTTGTGTACCAGAGGGTCTGGCATAGAACCTCAGCCAACTGCAGAGAACAGGAAGGACAAGCCTCAGTGGACAAAAGCTGCCATTTCCTTACTTAGCATACACATGTCCTCCTAAAACAGCAGATTTCAATAAATAAGGAAAACAGTGAAGATCTGTGCCTAAAAGTGAAAAGGGGGCGGGGTGGGAAGAAAGCATCTGACAGATGGCTGTCAGGCCTCCTGTGACAGGTGGGATGGAATCAGCAGCACGGGCACATCACTGAAGCACTGGCTCACCGGCACATTGATTGCCATCCTGCAGAATGTGCCCTGAACCTACCAACTGCAGAGTCAGCCCAGCCCAGCTCTGCAAAGAAAGCCCTACCCAACAGAGGCGAAGGAGAGGAGACCATGCAGGGTTGGCTAAGCATGAAGATGGGACTGCAGCTGAGCAGGGCGGTGCGCAGCTAGTCCTTCAAGTGGCTGAGTCAAGCGTCCCACACCGTGCCACCTATCATTTTCTGTTCTGCCTACACCCTACACCCAACCCACATCTCTCCAGGCACTCAGTTCCGGCCAGGACCACACACCACCCTGGGAAGACCTTACAGGGTCCACCCCTCAGCTCATATAGGAGAATGTCTGCCCGCTCCACAGTGGCCCACTTGGAGGCAGGGGCTGGCACTGTTCTCCAGTACTCCACTGCCAATCACAGGATGTCTGTGTCTGAAGTGGATCTATGGGCCAGGCCCAGCCCTGATCGAGCACACTTCCCAATACGCTTTTTCATTTAGGGGCAGGCTCTGTGGGCAGGGCCATCTATCTAACATTTCACCTCTCTGCAGTTCCCACTGCTGGGTGCAGGCTGGGCCCCTTACTGCAGAGCACTGAGCCTGGAGACTACAGTCTCCACAAGGCACAAGGAGCCTGGGTGATAGAGGGGATCGAATCACGCTCAGGACCATCTGCCATTCATCCACACTTCTCTGCTCAGACATTGTGCTAACCCTTTAGGTGCAGAATATTTAAATCCATACAACATTGCAAGAGGTAGCATCTTTATCATCCTCAACCATCATTTAACATGTAAGGAAATGGGGCAGAGAAAAGGCAAACAGCTTGTTCAGAGTCACAGAGTGAACAGCAGTGAGCCAGGATCCCAACCCCACTGCCTCACCCAGACCTTTTCTCTAAGCAGTAGCATCTCGCTGCCCACCCCGACCATACCTGTCCCACAGTGTCACGGGCATCTGTGCAGAGGCCACTGGACAAGTACAGGCTCCAGGTAAGAGGGGCCTCCAGTTGGTGGCAGTATCTTGGCCAAATCATCGTTCCCCTCAGAGCTTCCAGTTTCTCATCAGTCATACGGAGTTGTTTATGACAGCAGCCGTCTCCTTGGGCAGTTGGAAAGATTCAATATGCTAATAGGTATAAAAGACCTAGAACACTGCCTGGTACTAAAAGAACTCAACAAATGTGCCCCATTCTCGTGGTTAGTAATATGATGGTTCCAACTGGAACATTCCAGGTCTCTCTTCCAGGTCATTCCTGGTTTCCGCTCTAATCCTTGCCCTCTTTTTAATTTATCCTCCATCTTCCTCTGCCACCTTCTCCTTTTCCCTCCTCCCAGCCCTCACGCGCCAATGAGTCTGTTTAATTCATTCAAGCGCCCAGAGCCCCACATCTCTGAGTGACGACAGGTTGGGGGGCGGAGTGTGTGAGAACAGAGGGGCTGCTGCGATGGAACAGAAAGAAATTCGCACGTGCTCCTCTCTTTAAATTGCAGATTCAGTCACATCACAGGGCAATTTGGTTTCGTCTTCTCTTGAATAAGAGGAAGGATGTTTTATTCATGGGCATCTCCCCAGCGCACAGCCCCACAGTCCCCGTGTGTGCGAATGAATCGGTGCTCTTGCCCGCCCTGTTGGGCTTACCGGCTGCTGTGGTGACATCTTCAAGCCCTAGTGCCTGGCAGATCATAAGCACTCAGGTGTCTGCTGCTACCCACTTGATGGACACACTGTTTTAAATCCCCAACTCGATCACTGGTTCACAGTTATCCCCTTTACTTCTGGCTTAGGAAGGGAGTTCCAACACAAACTCCTGACATGGCAGGTGACAAGGACAAAGCTGAGCACACACTTCCAGTGATGCGGGTGTCTTCCTACAAGGTTTGATTTGAGCAGTGCCAAAAGATCGCTCAAGTCTCTGGGCTGAACGCAGTGAGGCTTAGTATTCCATGCTATATACCATGGTCAGACAGGCTGGCCACCATTTGCTAGATGGATCTTCGTCTTCTCTGAGCCTGGCATTCCCCCATGCTGGTAGAGCAGAAGGAAAGAAGAACCTTGAGGAGAAGGGAAGAGGTGGGGGAAGAAGGGAAGCATGCCTGCTCTCAGCATCTGGCAGGCGGGTGGGACAGGGTGGTGGGCGGAGGTTGGAAGAGGAGGGAGCCATTTACCGGCACAGTCAACAAACAAGGACCCAGAGCACAAAGCCAGGCATTGTGCTAAATGCTGAGGAAGTAAAAAGGAATTTTTATTTATAATTTATACCCCACCTACTTCCAAAGAGAATTCTGAAGGTGACTCACAATGAAAACCACACACGCAGCAAAATCGCTAAATTAGAAATAGAAAATCAAATTTGTGGAAATGAAGAAAGGAAACCACCATTTCTTCTCACTGTGTACCAAGTTATTGAGGACACACTATCCTTCAGTCCAACAGACCCATTCAACAGACAAGGAGGACGAGAGAAAGCAGACAGGGTGCCCAGGCCTACAATGCCTTTAAAATTTCTTGTAAACTCAGAACAGATTGAGAACATTTAGACTAAAGAAAATGTTTTAATATATGATATTAATGCTGTGCCTTTGTACTAATATAATTCTAAATATATTTTAGGAGGAAAGGTCCCTGCAAATGTCAAAGGGCTTAGGGCCCCAAAAAGTTGTGACACAGCCCCTGTCGGTCACTAACTCAGGCCTGTCTGCCTCCCAATCCCCTGCCGTCCCCATGCCAGCCCAGGTGGATTTGCTGTCAGCTCTGCAGCTACAAAGGGACCATGAAGAGATGAAACATTCTGTTTCATGCAGAGGAGGTGGAGTGGAATGCGTGTGTCCACTCTCCAAATTAATTATGGGGGGGGTGTGAATTTGTGTTTTTTCTTTATAACTAACCTATCAGATCCACTGGGTGACAGAGAAATGTCTACACTTTGTCCAACTTGGTAAATTTCCAATCTGAATTACTGATGAAAACTGTCTTTCATCCGTAACCTGGATGACTCAAGTAAATTTTGCTTTTCAAGGCCACCTTCTCTGTCTCTTAAACACTGCAGGGCAGGTGTATGCTTCAGACATTCCCGCCTTGCTGGGGTGTGCCGATACATGGAGCTACAGTGGTGGAGGCATTAGTGGCAGTGACAGAGGAGAGCTTTGGGCCTGACCTACCTGACTGCCTTCCTTTTCCCCAGTCCATGAGGATGCAAAGGGCAGGCTTTCCCATGTCATCTCCAAATCCGTGCAGCCAGGCCTTGCTCTTGGTGTGTTGAGAGTCAAAGGAACTTAGAAATCCCTTTCTTCTTAACAAAAACTAGCTTCTTAGCCAAGAATCAAACATTGCTTTCACACAACAAACCTAGAACAAGAGGATCTACAAGAAAACTTATTTTTAAAAATTTCAAAAAAGTATAACCTCCTTAGAGAAACATGTTAGTTCAACTGGGGAGACCAGTTATGCTGATATGAAATTCCAAAAAGAAATGTATTATATGGGTCCTTCTATAGAAAACACTGAATCTTTTACTTTGCAAGCCTTCTTCCAGTAGCTGTTTTTTATATCAACCCATGGAAAGTAGTTAGCATGGGCATTTATCCAGTAAAAGAAGTGAATCTTGTGAGTCAGTTGTGCACCATCAAGGGTCCTTACACCTGATGCAGCTTAGACTCCCAGAGAAGACAGGATAGTGTATCACACATAACTCTTTCAGGAAGGACTTGGTGTGGGAGCAGAGGCACTGTCGGTCTCTCCCACCTGAAGGAGGTCAGGAAACATTTCACAACAAAGATATGGCATGGCTTATCTATCAACCACCACAGTTCTTTGGAAGATCAAAACAGAATCAGAAATGGTGTGGACATTTGGGAAAAGAACTGTTTGGAAAGGAAATGACTCAACAAGTATTAAATGTTGGAGGATAAGATAGCAGACTCCCAGATCTCCTACATTTGGACTGCAGAGATACAACTATCAAAAGTCTGAATACAAATTATGATTCTCATCCTGAGCCAGGAAAAAAAAATTTGAAAAGCTACAAGTAGTTCCCTTAACCAGAAGAAGGCTCATGAGAAAAATTAAGAGCTTTGCACTGGCAGGAACTCAGGAGATCTCCTGTCCAATTCCCCGCCTTTGGGATGGAGAGCAGGACAAGAAGGGTCACTACTGTGTCCTGCCCATTTCAAAGAAGAAGGCAAACAGTGTAATTAAAGGGTAAAGGTTGAGAAAAAGTAGCAAAACTTTAAATATGATGGATAATATTATCAAATGAGTAGAAAATGCAAGAGTATACAGATATTGTTAGCTCAAGTACAAAAGATAAATGAGGTTGCTAGGTTTAAAGTTAATATGCAAAAAAAGTGGCATATTTTCAAAAAATAAACAAGGATTGAGAAAATAAATTTTTTAAAATAATCATTTATACTTGCAACAGAAATGAAGCATGTAACAAAATTTATTCTAGTTCTTTATAGAAAGTATTGAATTTTATTAACCAGCATTAATGAATGGACTCATAAATACAGAAATATACTATATTCATGCATAAATGAGTAGATATTGTAATGATGTCAGTTTACCTAAATTTATATACATGAAGTCTGATGAAAAATATGAAAGTTTAAATTTTAACCACTTACCAATCCAATTATTTAAATACAGGATAACCAAAAATTCCATTTTTTCATTAACTTTTGTAAGATAATGTAACAGGAAATATAACAGTAACAGTTTCATCAAGTTTATTCAATACAAGAATCGACTATTGAAATGAGACCTGCCCGAGCAACACTCTGAATAGTCAGGTGGTAAACAAACACCGCCCAAATGCGCTCAGGGTAAACAGTTAAGTGGTTAAATAATTTATCAGTAAAAGACGCCTTGCCACTAGTCTTCCTGAAAATGCTCCCCCTTGCTTTGAATATGTTTTTCCATCATCCGTACCACTTTCTGGGGCAGTTTTGGAAGCCCTTTCTCATGAGTGTCTTTAGTCATGCCGTCATGGCTGCCTTCATACCTGAATCGACACAGAATGTTTGCCTTTCACAGTCCTCTTGACTTTGGGAAGGAGACAGAAGTCACATAGTACCAGATCCAGTGACTAAGGTGGATTGAGACACACCACGACGTTTTTACAAGCCTGCCTTTCTGTTAAATGGCACTTTGCAACAGCACACACCGTATTTTTCTATCACAGCTTGTAAAGACACTCACAAAAGAGGACTTCCAGAACTGCTTCAGAAGCGGGCAGGAACAATGGGACGAGTGCTTTAAGTGAGGGAGACTCTTTTGAGAAGGATTAGTGGCAGTGTGTCTGGTCCTGTAATAAATTCTTAAAATTTAAGCATGCACTTTGCATTTTGTTCACACCACATAGATAAGCATCCAATATAAACACAGACTAGAACGTACTGAATGGTGTCATGGAGAGGACAGAGTCTTCTGCATTGCAAATGTCCCATCATGTCCCGTCTAATCGTGCCGTGGGACCTGCCAGCCTTGGGCCCTGGTCTTCTCCACAGGCTCCAGGTTCCTGGTTTTTGTGTCTTCAGTAAACAGTGCTGCCAAAGCTTTGCTGGGGATCCATAGCACAATGGCTACAGTGACCGGGCAAACTGGGGCCCTGTGTGTCCAGGGTGGCCTTGCTGTGCTCTCCCAGCCCTTGTCATGGAGGGTGACATTCAGATGACACTGCGCAGGCAAACATTTTCCTTCCTTGCTCCTTCCCTTCCCTCTTGCCTGCTTTTCTTTCTCTTTTTCTTTTTCTTCCTTTCTGTATCCTTCCCTCTTTTTCCTGTTTACCCCCTTTTTCTTGTCCCTTTTACCATGCGCCTCCCTCTGTCCCTGTCCTTGCCTCTCTCTCTCAATTCCAACTCCCGTGCTCAGCCATCTTTCTGATCCTCTATTTCTCTCTTACTCTCACTCAGATGGTAAAGGAATTGAATCATTTTAGCTGCCCTCCCTTTCTCAGTCCAAGACACTAGCTCAGCAGGACTGGTTCTGGGGAGGCCAGATTCTCTCTGGGGACCAGAAGCCAGCTCCACTAAGTGACCATGAAGCCCCCAGGCTGACCTGAGAGCCTTTTTCAAAGCTGCAGCCAGTAAAGGGCCTTTTTTGACTTCTAAATTTATCCATCTTTCACTGCATGAGCAAATGCCACCCCCTCATGCCTTCCTGGACCCCACAATAGAAGCATAGATTTTTGGCTGCCCTTCTTTTCAGCCCAGAGAAGGGCTGCTTTTGCTTTCGCTGTAAGGGGCATTAGAAGATTGTTGCCTGCCAGGAATGTATAGATTTTTTTTCCTCCTCAGTCTGGGCTGATTTGACCTGATTGACTGGCAAGATAGAGGTTCCTAGAGAGGGAGGAAATGACGGGGACGGGGCTGCAGGAGGCAGAGTCTAGAGAAAGAGAGACGGGGAGAAGGCAAGATCAAGTTCCAGAATTTTAGAACCAGAAAAGGAAGGAGGGAAATCCTGTAGAATCCAACATATACAGCACGCATTTGGTAGAGGAAGAATCCAAGGCCTCAAAGACACAAAGCAATTTGCTTCCATCCTAAATTTGTCATTGGCAGAGCCCAGATTAGCAGGCAGGTCTGAATCCATCCCAGCTCCACACTGCCTGCTGCCCTATTCAAGGCAAAGAAAGTCAATGATCTTGGCAGTAAAATGAAGCTATCTGATGAAACAGGAATTTGGAGATATCTTCCAGTTGACAGCATTTGGAGAGCTGCGGAAGCCCACTCTTTCATGGGGGCAGCATTTAATGAGCATGTGTGTTATTCATTTTTCATGAAGGATGGCATGCAGTGAGTATACATCAGTGAAAACTAGGTCCCTACTCAGGGCCCAGGTTGCATGGTCAGCAGGAACAGGAGAGCCAGGGAGCACCCATCTAAAAAGGCAGAGGGGAGGAGGGTGAGTGACACTTACAAGCACTTCCTGCCAAGGTCATTGTCATGTATAATTCTCACAGGGACTCAAAGCTATATGCTATTGCTCCAGTGTCACTGATGAGAAAACTGAGACTCAGAGA